TGTTATAATTAATAAAAACAAAGTCTAAAAAGCATATTGGGGAGGGCTTGGATTTAAATGTTTTTATATATTAAAAAATGAATTAAATATATAAATCATACTAAGAAATTAATAAAATGCCCATTTTTTTGTATGTTTGAAAAAAAAGAAAAAAAACTAAGAAATTAATAAAAAAAATATAACTAATTATGCACACAAATTAAGTTTAGAAAAAAAAGCAGTAATAAAAAAAAAGCAAAGAACTTTCTCATATTGGTTTGCTACATTATAATACAAATATACTAATTTCACATTAACTACAAAATGATAAGATAAAAAAAAATCACATAAATAACTTAACAATGACACAAATATAAACTAACTTTAATCATTCAAAAAGCTAAGAATAGTAAAAAAATCATTTGTAATATTTATTAAAGCTTTACTTTTACGCTGTTTAAAGATCAAAACAAAAAAAAACTAAATCTCTCAAATAATTAGATGTTAATAAACCTAAACTAGAACAAAACAAAATTAGAAACATGTAATTCAACAAAATATTTTCCAAATTAATCTTAATTAATTAAAAAATAAACTATCCTAAAACATTAAACTTCTTAGTTAATGTTTGCAACAAAACTAACCTTAATAATTGAAAATGCCAAGTATAGAAAAAAAATACATTTGCAATATTCATTAAAGCTTTACTTTTTACACTTTTTTAAAGTTTAAAATAAGAAAAATAAACTAAATTTCAAGTAGATATTAATGGATGTAAATTAGGACAAAACAAAATTAGAAACATGTAACATAACAAAATTATATTCCAAATAAACTTTAATTAATTAAAAAATAAATTATCTTAAATTATTAAATTTCATATTTGATATCTACAACCAAAATTAATATTTGAATCTTTTAAAAATGCAAATAGACATATATAACAATCAATCCTCAAATTAAAATTTTTAAATATTACATTAAATAAATAAAGATTTAACTTTAATTATTAATATCAATTAGATTTTTTTATTTTGTGCATATTATGTGCGTTGTATGTGCATTTTATAATTTAAAATAAGTTAATTGATTAAAATTGTTAAAGCAATATTAGATAGCACTAGCTCTTTTAAACAAAATTGTGCGCATCTTATAACAAAACAAATCATTTCAATTATAATAAAAAAAATTATTATAAATACTAATTAGATATAAAATATACATTTTAAAATAAAGTTAAAATAATTAAGTTTTTTGAAACTAATAAACTTTCTTAAATATTATATGAAATAAATACAAGTATAATTTTAATAATCAATATTGATTAGATTTTGTATTCTTTGCATTTCATGTGCGTTATAAGTGCATTCCATGTGCTTTAATTATACATAGAAATTAGAAGTTTTAATCTTTTTTTTTTTCCTCTATGATGAAGACTTCTCTGAAAGCTTTATTCTCTAACAATTAAAAATTGATAGATATAAACTAATACTCGGATTTCTCTAGACTGGTATAAAAAATATAATTAATAACAAATGTCTTAATAGGAGTAAGAATATTATTAGAGGTATAAAAAATATAGATATAAACACTTAACCCTTTCGAAAACATCTTTTGCATAAGTAGTCGTTTTTTTTTATTCATCTCATTTATTTATATTTTGTTTATACTCTTATTTTTTGCTACTTGTAAAATATGATATTAAATAAATGAAGATATTGCTTTAACAAGATTTTTTTATTCTATACATCTCATGTGTATCATATGTGCACTTCATTTACTTCAACAATTTAAAGATCCTACGTGCTAGTACTAAATTACTTTGATTTAAATTTGGTTAAATGAAGACACTTATTGAGCCTCCATTTATAGAGTGGTAGAGAAATCTTGCCATGTGTAACGAATTGGATGGTAAGCACAATTCTTATTAGTTCTTCGCACTATTTTTCTACAGTTAAAAATTATCATGCTTGTCTATTGAAAAACTGAAAACTTTGGCTATCTTATAGAGTAAACAAACTTTCCTTAAATCACATTACTTGTATGAATAAATAAATTTTTCAAAATTGTTTAACTTAATTGATACTGGTGAAGTTAGTAATGGATTTGGTGAATCATCCGGTCATGTTAGGATTTGAGAATGACATTTATGAGAGTGAAGTGAGTTTAGAGAGAAGGTGGATATTTTTGCTTTAACTGGCTGGTAGTGAGTTAAGATCGGAGGTTATTTTTTAAAAATAAACTTAGGTTGTGTTTAATGTAATATTTTGAATTAATAGACTTAAAGTGGCAACCAATCACATTTAGTCAAGAAATATTGATAATTATTGACTCCATTTTAGGTAAAGTGATTAAATTCCCGAACTCGCATATTAACACACTTGTGAAAGCAATTCAAGAAATCTTTGACATTAAACAAATAGAGAACTTAGTAACCATTAAGGATCTATGTTTGGAGCTTACTGATGTCCTTTTATTGTCCACATTCCATACAACAGTAGAATTGTTTTTAAAAGTGGGAATATGATGCATAGAATGATTTTCCTTTTTATTTTTTATTTTTTATTGATACGAAATTTCTGTTTCCGTTAAACTTTGGGACCTGCATGCTTCCAATCATCCGAAGTTTGTTTGATACACGTTGGCAGCAAGTGACTAAAGTGGTGACAAAGAAGGGTAAAAGGCCGAAGTTTAATGAAGATTGTGGAAGCCCACAAAACCAAGAGATCATGAGCAAGGGCGAAAAGGCCCACAAAGAGTGGAAGAGGGACTATCAGGCCAGCAAGAAAGGAGTGGCCTAGCGGCCCGCATTAAAGAAAAAAGGGGTAAGGGAGAGTTGGCATCGATTCGTTTGGGTGTTATTAGAACCCAATTAGAGAATCCAGCCGGTGAAAAATACAAGAAATAGAGGCATTACCTAGATATTGAAGAGAAGATTAAAAGTAACAAAAAGAAATCTTTCAAAAAGAAAGGAAGAAAAAGTCTCAAAAAGAAGTCTCTCAAGAAAAATTTTTTCGGTTGCCAATAATTCCCTTTCTGACTTCTTACCGGCATTTGGAAAATGCTTTTCCCACCATCTAACTCCTTACTGGTGCTAAGGGAAGTGGCCTACGCACCGTATCCCTGCTTCTCACCTCCTTCTGGAACCAAGCAAAATCACTCATAAAATAAGGAAGTGCAAGTTAAAGCATAAATCTGAATGGAAAAGGCCCTCTAGATTCCTATAAGCTTAAAATCTACGGTTCTGCCCTCGGTAAACCATGCCCCGCTGGAATAGGAGCTGCTATTAGAAAAGATGAAGGTTTCATTATGGGAGTCTTCTCTCCCATAGGCATAGAGGACTCCAACTATGCCGAGTTCCTTGCTATCAAAGAAGGCCTTTTGTCTCTTCCCCTCGTCACCATGGGTTTCCAATTCTCTCATTGTCGAAAATGATTCCAAGAATGCTATTAGCTAGGTTCTGAACCTTAACTTTGCTTCCTGGCGCATGAAGAATATTTACAATAACATTGAGGTCCTCAAAGCAGACATTAAGCTGATCACTTTCACCTATATTAGCAGAGAAGCCAAACATTAGGCTGACGGGCTTGCCAAAGCTGGTCCTCCCTCTTTTAATGCTTGTCAATATTCCTATGTGTTGGATTTTATTGCTGATGTTCTCTCTCCCTTCCCAATTACTGGTTGATGGATCCTCTCGGACTGGAATGAGCTTTTGCTGGGGAAACTATGATTTCCTCTTCTGTTGTAAGCTTAGAAGCGATTGGTTGTTTGATGTTGCTGTCTTTATGGATTTCTGTTGCAAGCTGGGTTTCGTTATGACACTTGTCTGTGTTGTTTGTGCAGCACACTGTTGCCTATGAACCTGAATTTTACAGGGGTAGATTTCTCCCTTTGAAGTCATTGATTAATATCCTGGGAAGGCATATAATACCTCTCCAGATTCCTTGCTTTGTAATGGCACCATTGTGGTAAGCAATTTATGAAATTCTCTTGCCATTCAAAAAAAAAAAAAATCCCCTCTCTGACGGGGACTTTTGAGAACAGAAATTTGTTGATCAGTAAGGAGGTTGAAGCTACGTCGTCGATGGGCAGGCAAGAATATTAAAGAAGAGAAGATGGAAAGCTGGATTCCAAAATGCAGGAGTGCCTAGACAAATACCCAGAATACGAAGAACGTTAAAGAACAGCCTGTTTGATCTTTGCATTTATAGACGGGTTGCAAAAGAGAGGGGACACGTGACTAGCACGTGGTTAAGTAAAATTAAGTACTACTGTCCACATTTGTATCACGTTTAGATAATAATACATCCTAGAATCCTGATAAATCTAATTTTAGATAATTATTTATACAAGTGAAAAAGATTGAATTGAAATTAAAGCAATTAATTCAATTATTATTAGTATCATATTTTGATATTTAACCAAAAAAAAAAATTAAAATTGCTGCCCAGTTCTCTGAGTACACTCAAATATCAAATCAAACTAAAATTCTTTTGACGTGGTATTTTTTGAAAACATTTGTTTTGAAACATCAATATCATGGAAAAGATTAAGTTAAAATTAATGTAATTAAGGGCTACAATTCTACCCCTTAAATCCAATTGTTATCATTATCATTTTAAGAATGGATAATAAAATAGATTTAAAATTATACATTTAGCCAAAAAAGAAGTTGGAGTTGTTGACCAACTCCATAATTGCAGTCATAAGTTAGCTCCACATCAAGGGGAAAATGGAGAAGGGGTGGTTTCAACAGTGATCGGCAACTTTGTTAACTGGGATTTTGTGTGTTTCTCATTACCAGGTTTTTTTTTTAATTCAATTTGCTTTTATTGGAATTTTTTTTACACAAAATAATGATTAAGAAATGCAAGTTAATTCAACATGATCTTATGATTCTACAAACAAAAGCTTAAAGAAATCTCATATGTATCATTGATTTGTGGGGAAAAAGAATTCGGGTGCGGGAAACCCTTTCCTATATCTGCAACTTATGAAAACATGTATTTGTCGATTTCAAAAAACAAAGCAGCGAATAACAAGAGGGAGGATGGCTTTGCTGCTTTAGAGATGATTTGCATGCTAAAGCTTCAGTTCTTACTATCAACTGAAGTTTTCCATCACTGAAAGCTCATCTCCTATCAAGCTCTCAAGTAGCTCCAATGATGTTCTTTCATGAAACAAAATATCTCCTATCAAAACTCTCAAGTAGCTAGAAGCTCCTATCAAACCTCTCAAGTTTGGAAAAAGAAGGTTCAACAAATCCATTGGTTCACAGTAGCTGCTAAATAACCAACATCTCCTGCACGGTTTCCCTTTAAAAGCCATCCACAATCAACAACCCTTCTTACACATGCACAATCTTATGTGTTAGAACAAAAAAAGGTAGAGCAACTTCTATAAACTAGGTGATGGAAATTTCCATTTTCTACACCACGATATATCAAAGTAGGTAAATATGTTCGCCAAGCAGGAAATTTGATCTTCAAATCATCTAAATTTATTGCAGTTACACATTTATTACCTTAATTAACACAGTTGTGTATTCTTCACATGATGGAATCACTGAAACATCCTAAAAGTCATGAATCTATAATCAATAATGCACCTGATAATTTTAATCAACTCTGTGACAAGCTTCTAAATCCCCTTTGCCTTAGACGGCTTAATTTGCAGAATCTATGCTGTGTTATGTGCACTCAAGATATCATGTCTGTTGATCATAACCTAAGAACAACATTCCATAGCCACATTAATTGGTTGATGGTGTTGGAAATGCTGTCAAATATAGTAAGGCCTAATACCAAGTTAGTTTGAAAAGCATATGCAGGAAGGATGTTAAAATGCAAAGCAGAGAATGCAAGACAACTGCTAAGAATAACTAGTCTGAACACTGCAGAATAACTAATGGGAACATGTAAAGACAGTTCAACTTTAACAGTATAATGTCAAGTCCTTTGCCTTGGGTCAAAGGTTCATCTATGTTACCCACAAGTTTTGAAACAAGGGAAGGATCTGCAAATAAGAGGTGCTTTGTTTAACATTGTAAAATACAAATGAATACGGTAATGTTAAAAGTAGAAACAACTAAACAAGCTTACAGAAATGCAATTTTCAGACTGATTCTCAACATTTCCAACACAGAACCTATAATGCTTTCTTTGTCACAAACCTTTAGTTCCATAACTTGTATTTGTCTGCCAAAATAATCACGACAAAAGTAAAAGAGATATTCTTGGTACAAACCTTATTTGTTCCCGATAGGCACCATGTATCATTGCTCTTTCGTGTTTAAGTAAAATCGTCATGTCATTTAACCAGTCATGCCATTTGCTTTCCAGCCCTAAATGACTGAAGAGCCCATAATCCACATAATCCTTTGCAGTAACCCCAGTATCTTTTACAGGGAGACAAAGAATGGTGGCGTTGGTTGATCCCTCATTTATACATCATTCAATTGCCTAAAATATGGGAAATTAGTGCTATACAAAGGTTGCAGAGCAAGGCCCTCAGAAGATTTTACGTCAGCTGAGTGCCACACATTAGCAAACCATTGCATAGTTTAGATAATCTTTCATCACAGCCAATCATTATTCATTGTTTCTCAATCATCAACTTCACAGTTCACACCCCCTCCACCTCCCCTCCTTTTTAAAAGGCCTGGTGCTACTTTAATAATATCATTAAACTCCAACATCACAATTTAAAATATTCAAAGCAGTATTAAATTAATGCTTCCACTCGCCAAGATGCTCAGTAAATTATATACTAGTAATTGTTTTAACTATTCAATTTCAATCGAAATTTCAGTTTTGAAAATCAAAGCAATGTATGACAGAACTTCGCGTTTCATCGGAAATTAACAAAGACAGAAGGTTTCATCAGTACTTACCAAATCAAATCCCATCAACATAAATCCTTGGACGAGCAACTCTCGCTTTAAATTCCACCGACATTTCCATTACTAACTTCCCCTTTCTTGACCCAAACCATCCCTTCATTTCTCTGATTCCGCTCTCTACTCCTAGTAAATTTCCCATAATGACTCCTATTCAAATCCCTATTGCCCTCACGGCGATTGAAATTTGTATTTTGGCTCCCGTATCTACTATGATCCCCCGTCATAATCTCTCCTTTCATTGACATTGCCCTAAATCTCCGTCCAATCTCCATCGTCCGATCCTCCGTTCTAGTTATAATCCTCGGTTTGCATTCTGTCCTCGCCTCAACACTCGCTTGATTCGGCGCGTGGACTTCTTCTCCAATCACCTCCTCCTCCCGGTTAATATTCTCCACAGTCGCAGGCAACGGCGGGTTCACAGCAGGTCCCACCACTCCCTCCTCCATATTCTCTGCTCCAGCTTTCTGTTTCTTCTTGTCCTTTTTCTTGCTTTTCCATTTCTTCTTCTTCCCGACCTTCAATTGCTCGTCTTTCTTCTCCTTCTCGACGTCCTTACGTTCCTTAACCGCAAAACCTACCGCGATTTCCGCTTCCTTGGACTTCCCTTCGGCAACACGCTTCCCATTCTCCCGATTATATCGACGAAAATGCCCATTTTTACGGCTTTCTCTTCCAGCTACCTCGTCATTAACTCGCTCTTCAACTTGTTTTTCCTTTTCTTCTTGTTCTTGTCGCGGTTCATCTTTTCCTTCCTTTTCCTTCTGCTTTCGCTCTTGTTCTTTGATCCATCTTTCCTGCAATTGAAGGAGAGTAACGTAATTTGAAGGAATGGAAGGCAACTTTTTCTTTCCGTTGATTTTCGCAGACTCCTCCATTGAAGAAAAGATAAATAATCACAACAAAGAAGAGAAACAGAAACTTATGCCGTAGTTACAAAAATCATAGACAAAGATAAATTAAACAAAATGTATTTTGATTTCATTCCTTGCTGAGAAAGGAAAAAAAATGAAACAGGGGACCGACCAGCGACGCTTTCAGGTACGCCTTTTAACTGGCGATTTTGGGAAGATAAAATGGCATCGCATTTGCCATGAATTACGGAGTTGCCACTATAGTTGGAGCCTAAAAAGAGTGTGGGCCCATGCACGAGAACTTGATCCTGGAAAGGTGATTTTCGGGACAAGTCATGTCTCTCTAATCGGGCCCTCAACTTGTTCATCTCTTAGACTTATTATTGAAGCCCAAATTGGGAGAACTTGGCCCATTTTTATAACTTTTTGAGGCTGTGGGCTGTATAATTTTTCCTGATTTATTTTTTACTATAAAAAAACTCAATACGATTTATCTTTTAATTTCCTTCGATAATTCGAATTTCAAAGTATAAAATTGACTCTATATTTTAACAAAAAAAAAATTATTCCATTCAAATTTCCATCAGATCTAATTAGGTCCAGATTTCGTTTTAATTTTTTCTTCAATGTTGATTCCTTGAACTATCCTCATAGTAAATATTAAATTCATTTATCAAGTACATTATTTGATTGGCAAGCTTATAAAATGGAGATTACGGATTGTAATTATTGTTTTTCCAAAAATGATTTGCGAAAAACGCTAGAATTGATCAATTGTTGCCACTTTTATCAATGCAAGAAGCCACAAAGAATAAGGCCTAATTAGACTTTCCTTGAAACTTCACACGTTCATCCTCCACTCTCCTCTCCTATTTAAACGTCAAATCCTTGCATGCGTTTGTCTTAACCCTCACAGTTCCACCATATTCAGTTTGAGAATATTTTTTTTTAAATAACAAAAATGAATCGTTCTGATAGTGGCAGCGATGATGAGCACGAGTATTCTCAAAACCAGCAGCCCGCACCAGCGAATTACGCCTACGCTTCTCCGCCACCTCCACCTCAAGGTTTATCAATGTTTAACATCTATTTCAATTCAAGTTCTGGTTTCATGCATGCTTAACAAAATTTTTTTTAACCTTTTGGGTGTGGAAAATCAGGTTATCACTCACCCCAGGATCAAAATTCAAATGGTCAAGCTCTTTATTATCCTCCACCAGCACAGGCTTATCCTCAGCCACAGCCAGGCCATCCTCCTCCGATTTATGTTTCACCACCGGCATACACTCCACCAAGTTTTCATCCCGTAGGCTACCCCCAAGCTGCACCTCAACCTCAAGCCCAGCCTCAGACTATAATTTACAATCAGGCGCCCTCCGGCCCTCAACAACAACAACAACAGCAGCAACAGGAGGAGGTTGCAGCTGCAGGCTGCTTGGAAGGATGGTGAATCTCTCTCTCTCACTGTTAATGTTACTTGTCTAAAGTAACTTCATGCAAAAAAATTTTTGTTTTTATTTTTTCGCAATAGCGCATTAATATTTCTATTTATTTTTACTAAAATTTACAATCATTTTTGTGTTTTGCAGCCTTGCTGTTCTTTGCTGCTGCTTCATTTTGGATCGATGTTTTGAGGAGTAAATCAGACAGACTGATTCTAGATGCAGCTCTACCATGCCGTCTCAAACAAAATTGGACATGTTCAGAGGATGCGATGCTTTATAAGAATAAACCATTGGAATTCATTTTTTTTACTCTAACGTTTTGTAATAATTATTAGTTACTCATGAATAACTAAATGTTCTGTGACAAAGCTTTAATTGTTTCCAACTTTATGAATTGTTATTTTGTTTGAAGTTAATAAAAGTATATTTAAGTTCACCTCAAAGGATCCGAGACCGCAAAGCGTTTTCAAAAACAAAAAAGAAAATTAATTTGTTGCAAGAGCTTGATGACACGATATTTGCTAACTAATGATAGTGAATATATATTGATAAGTTCCTGATTTTCTCATTAATTAAGTATCATTTTCACGTGATCATTGGAATTAGGCCGGTGATCACGGGATTATCAAGAATTTTGCTGGAAATCAAGGGCTAAATGTGTGCATTATATATATAGATAGTATTTGACAATAAATGAAAAGGATTCTATAGGAGATGTGTGAGTAGAATTTCCTTTGAAGGGTATACCCCCAGGACTGAAATTTTTCTCAAGTAATTAAAATATAAAATAAAACAATCCGATCCAATCGGTATTTGCAAACTCATTACACCCCTCCCAAGAGTGAAAACACCCATACTCAGTTTTTTTTTTTATTACAAATTTGCTTGATTGATTTGGAATCAATGAAATGAAATTCATATCATTTTTATTGTGCGTGAATGAAGGTTATTGGCAAATTGGAGACAGCTTTAGACTTAAAGAGATCTTGGGTTGATGGTTGGGTGTGGTCTTTGTCTTTGGTCTTGCAGTTTGGTCGGAAAAAAGATTGAGATGCGGTGGTCGATATATAGTTAAGGATCGGAAGTCGATAAAGATAGTTTATTATTAGTGGAGCAAGTCGAATTATATTAAGTTTTATATCTTCTAAATTTTTGTTATTTATTAACAAAGGTATTTAAAATTTTAAACTTACTCATTAATTATGTGATAATTTTTTATTCATTGATAATGTATAAAAAACATAATAATATCAAATATAAAATTTATTCTTTTCTTAGACTAATAGAATTTGAATTTTATCGACACCTCTCTTAAAACAATTTAAAAAATTTTATATGAAATAATATTTTTATTCAATAAATTAAAAACCATCGGTTTAATTAGCTATCGTTATATTTAATGTAAATTCAGTACTATACTATAATAACACCTCGAAGTTGCTCCAATAGCTTCAAGCTTCAATTTTCATTTTGGTAAAGCATTTGGTTTGCACTTTCCACAAAAGCTCCCCTTCTCCAATTTTGAAATTCAGAATGAAGAACCTCAAAACTCATTCTTTACTTGACAACCAAGAAAAGCTGTCCCTTTGCGGTCTGATCACTAGCAGTTCGAGAGCAACATGATACCATCTCCATGGCTGGACCTCTGAGGGAGCTCAAACCTCTTGACGTGGCAAGCGCCAAAAGCACCGTTAACAGCAAAAGAAATAATAAAGAGAGCACGCTTTGCAAGGCAACGACCACGTTTTATCAAAACTCTTGAACAATCAGCCACCTGGGCCCTCTGCTTTCTTGTGGTAGTGAAAGTTTAACCTCCCAATGTTCACCCCTCCAAATCAAATTCTAACTCATCCGTTGCATGCAATAGAGTACGACCAGCGTACACGTGGGCGACGTCCAGAATTAACCGACTGGATGCAAAAGGGTGTAGTGTCGTAATATGGAAAGGCCAAGGACATAAAACGACCAAACCAATCCTGATAGGTGTAGCCACGCATGGTCGCCAACGCCACACGCGTTGTAACCAGAGGGAGCTTTTGATTGGTGTAAGAGCGGTTCAAGTTGAGTGTGGATCAAATTCAAGGCTTGCTTGTCAAAACTTTTCTATTTCCTCCTATTGATTTGTTTGTATCTTAGAGTTTTTGGTTACAGTATGATGTGTCAGCGTGCATGGACCCACTCGCTACTTCAAAGTCCCACATGTCCGTATCTATAAGCCCCTCAAACACGTACCCATCATACAATATCCAAATGTCTACGTCTCCTGCCTCCTTGTTTCATGTTGCCTGGCACCCATTGGCTGATTTCCGCTCTTTAAAACCACCGTCCCCTCTCACCCCTTACATTCAAAAGCCCATCACACCTCTTCACTTCATAATCCATCTTCTTCTCTTCTCACAGAGTACTCGAGACACATACTCTTTGTTAGAGGTCTTACACTTCTACATTCGGTTCAATTTTGGGTGAGAAAGTGAGAGGAAGAAGGCGCTATGATTAAGACGTTGAATCCTTACTCCACCACAGCTAAAACAGCTGAAATTATGTCCAGGTACAGGCCAATAGCTCCGAGACCTGAGGTGCCTGCAAACTCCTTGAATGAGAACTCAGCCATGTCTCAGAAGATCAGGCAGTCTCCTTATCTGAGGAATTTGTGGCCTCAGATGCAGGCTAGGCCTACTAGGACTAGGAAGAGGGGTAGAGCTGCTTTATCACCACCAACACTCAAGAGAGCAAGGACCCATGTCCTAGGGCTTTCTTCACCCAGTCCAGTAACATCCCCTGCAAAAAACCTTTCTTTGCAAGGCTTTTCTCATGGGATTCCTCAGCTTTCAGTTCCTAACTTTGTAAACACAGGTGGAGGCTTGGAGAGTTCTTGTGCACCACCAGCAAATTTGGTGACGCTTCCCCTTCTTCCATGTCCTCCCTCGGGTCCGATTGCAGCCAACAAGGCAACATTACCTGCACTCAATTGCATGGAGCCTTGTGGAGGAGAGAAAGTGATAGATTTGAACACAGCGGCTGAAATTCCAGAAGAGAAGGATCTGTTGAAGCAGCTACAAGGTCCTGTCACCAGCGGCGTTATAGCACCTCAGCCAATTCGACCAGTGGGTTCCAGCATCAGTGTTGGATACATCAGAGAGGACCCAAGCCTAACCCCACCAATGCAAGTTCCAAAGAAACCAGAGGAAGTTGAAGAAGAGGTCGAGTCGGAGGCCTTGCCGGCAGTGATATCTGACTCAAACAACAAAGTTAGACTGGCAAATTCTGCTTACAAAGAGATGGTGGGTCAACCAGAGTGTCCATGGCTGGATTCTATGGTAACAGGTGAAGGAAGAGCAGGAGGCAACTCATGCAAGAGAATCTGTGGGGAAGTGATGCTTCATCTATCTGATTCGAGGGTGCTAGTTACATCAAACCGGTTTTCATGCTGGGTGAGGATTGACTGGGGAATTGATGGGAAGAAAAGCTCAATCAATGCCTTCTGCGATGTGATCAGACTATCATGTCAGTCAAAGGACTACCTCTTCACATGGAGGTTCCATACCCACAACAGGGAAGCAACTCAGTCGGGCTGCAATGTTTGAAATTTGAAATGCACACAGCTGTTTCCTACAAAATGTGCCTTAGCTAGTAGTATATGTGTAGATGATATATATATAAATATCAGGCATAGTGTAGTATAGTAGTTTTTGTCAGCATATTTTGTGTAGCTATATATGCCAAGTTTACTCCATTTGCTTCTTAAACTTTGTGTACGGATGCTTGCAACTTGTTCTAGCGCCCCAAGAAAGAGGTTAGAAATAGGGAAAATATTGGCAGAGCTGATAATCTGTACTTAAAAATAGTTCTGCTGTTAGGCTGTTACTGTATATCATTTAAAAGCAAGAAAAAAAAAAGTCATATCGTAGAAATATAAGGTTCTATTATCTGGCAATTCATAATTTGCTCTTTAGTTTCTTTATCACTCACTACATTACGCGTATGATGTACCAGAAGAGAAGTACAATATGAAGTAAGTACTATGATAAAGCTCTGATTAGTCGTATCCTCACGGGGTTCTTCAGAGAAATCAATTTTTAATTATCTTCACCATTTGGTGGGCCCTTCCATTTGATATTGTCTGCATATGACTTAACCTGGAATCACAACAATGAAAAACACCAATCTCCTATGTAATAATTCCTTGAAAAATGTACATAGCATAAGAGATGATTCTCATAAACATTCCTAGTAAATCCTGGTTTTCCTTTATCTGTGAAGGGGGAAGGCATTGAAAACTGCACGCATTTAACGATGTGAGCAGAAGGCAGAGGCATCCTAGATACTATGGCACTTTGTCCTGTTTTCATACAAGTTACCTAGCCAGTAATATGGGGTAAAAAGAAGAAGAAAAGAGTCCTGTGTCACATATATAGTTAAGTGAAAATGTCCCTCAAACCAAATATACTGGCTTCAACGACCAGGAAATATTTTAGCTTGTCAATGAAAATAAAATGGTAACTGGCAAATAAAAGAAAGTAAAGAGAGTCAAAACCTTGAGAAGAGGCGTATGTCGCTTCTTGACCTGTAGGGAAATATGATACGTCAAAGATTACACAAACAAAAACGTAGTTATGACATCTAAAATCACTAGAATTCCAATAAACGTGTCTGCATGAAGTTAAGTGTTTTGGAGAAATATAAATCGAAGGCACTAATTTAGGGTTGGACAGGCAGCTCACTTCCTTAACTTTGGAATGGCTGAAACTTGAAAGTAATAACTGCTGTGTCTATAATGCATGCAGAAGGGTGTATGATTCAACCAATTTATTCATGGCATTTGGTTTAAGACTTTTACTATTTTTCAGCTTCCTCTTGCTAGTTTAGACAAGGGTAGATTCGGTAGACATTATGGGGGTTGAGATTACCAAATGTAACAAGCAGGGTATTTGACAGGTTGAATTTTATTATGAGAAACTTTTAAAAAAGGAAACAGAAAGGGAGAATGATGCAGTTGTTTGTTAATTCGTGGATTGTGTTCTCTACTTTGCCATGATTGAAAAGTAGGATGGAATATGAGCAAATGTTCTCAGATTTATTCAGTGACGCATGCACAGAACAACTAAAAACCCCAAGGCAGGCACATACTTCATATTCCTTGCCATATTTCTCAGCAAATGCTTTTGCAGCTTCTTCACTGTCAAATTCAAGTCCAGCCTCACCAACATTGGCATACGGATCTCCTGTTGATGTCCAACCCATCAACGGATTTTCCCACCTAAAGAAAATGTCAATGGAAGGAACTGACTACTCGATGTCATCAAAATAATGTCAATGTTTCTATTGTCACAGCGGAATGCAGAAATGTTAAAAGATTGATCACAAAAGATACACACATGTTATAATATTTCTTCTTAGTTCTGACCACAACAATAGATTGAAAATTCCTATATTATCATTCTTTTTTTCTTATGAACGGATAATTTTCATAATCATAAAGGAAACTACAAACATCACAAAACTTCCTTATATTATTGGTCATAATGTGCTGTCACTAAAGTCTACTATGTTCCTGGCTTTGAGATAAATTTGATATATTCTCAAAATGGAAATTGATAGTATCAGTGGCCCTGGAAGTGGCAGAGAATAAATTAAGCGTGGCAACATGTACCAGGAAAAGACTGCCTAGTTTTAAGAAGAACGAGAAAATAGAAGGTAGGTAAATGCTCAAGTAATTTGTTAACAGTAGAAAGACTTTGATTCCCAATAAGTATACAAGAATGGAAACATAGTAAGGGTAATTGGTAAATTACTTATGTGTTGATAAAAAATTGATCTTCCATTTTCCAACTTTCCCTGAGCCCTGCTGTGATGCAGTTCGAGCAGGCGAGTAAATTAGAACCTGGCATGCATAAAAGGAAAGAACATATTCTTAACAGATGAGCTGGTCTCTAAAGGAAAGCAGATTCAGTAACAGGGAATAAAAAATCACTCTATAACATGCAGGCATTCTGCAAGATTTTCTTATCAAAAGTTAAAAATTGAAAAGCCAAAGATGTATACCCTTCGTTTTAGGTGCTGTTCGGGTATCCCAGAGACCATTCCAACCTCGCCACGCTTCACTCCCAGTTCCATCAAAGCATCTGAAGAGCAGCATCTTTTCCAAAAAACTAAAGCAGGACAATGAACTCGAATTAGATTCCTACCAACCTGTTGCACTAAACCTGTCGTATTTTTTCTTGCTTTAGTTCTTCCTTTCCTTGATTATAGACTCTCAGAGGTTTATAAAGTCGTTAAAAGCTAACAAATGAGAACTGACTGGAAGTTTCGCGCTTTGTAATTTGGATTCGGGAAATTGGGCCGTTTGTCTGTCGAGTGGAGTTCGTTGACATATTGGGCTTGACGTAAGCCCATTATGTGCTTTAATGGAAAGAAAAAAGAAGGAAAACAAACGTGCTTTGATTGAAAAAAGGGGAAAAAACCCAATTATGCCTGTTGTTTTGGGGTCAGGACTGATTCCAAGCACACCGGCCGAACATTCTTAGATTTTCGCTTGCACATTTGTCCGCTTCGAATAAGCGAATGCCATTTGTTCTTGGTATGTATCGAGATGGAGTCTTCGTGATTTACCCTTTTCTCGTCCTGTTTTGCCATCTCAACTTTGTTCTCGCCATTAGTTTATTAGAGTTTAGAAAAGCTTGCACGCGTATTCAATCTTGCAATTTGTTCTCTCTGCTCTTCTTGTCTGTGCATTGTGCTAGCCTGCCAGTTCGTGAAGGACAAGATCAATGGCAGCTAACGAGGATGATTCAACGCTTTTCAAGCTAGAATTGGCGTGTTCGGATTTGAGAACACTCCTGCAATCATCGGTTCAAATGGAAAAAAGCCTGGAAGTGATGGAGAGGAAGTTTGATTTTATAGATGAAAGTCTCTCAACAGTTGCCAAAAGAGTAGCTCCTTTGCAGTCCTTGGCTATGGTTGCAAAGGCTCTCGAGACTAGAATCAATAGAGCTGTCTCTCCGGCTCTTGCTCTCCTCCATAGTTTCAAGCTCTCTGAATCTCTCCAGAGCAAGCTTATTGAACTCTCCAACAAACTAACCACTGAGAAAAACCCGAGAAAGAGGCTTAAAAAGCTGCTCAAATATGTTGAATATGTTGATCAGCTTAATGCGGCCATTAACTTAATCAGTCGAGACAGTGAACCGGTGATTCAAAAGCTTCAAGAGGTGGTGGAATTCTTGAGCAGGACAAAAGCGGCGGATCAATATCGAACACAGAGATTGAAGGAGACTTTAATCACACTGAAAGCTTTATATGAATCTGAAGTTGATGACATGAGGTTTGATGGGTTACTTGATGAGGCTTTACTAAACCTGCAGGACGAATTCGAGATTATTTTACAGCAAATAAA